ACAAACAATTGTTTCTCTTCCTTTCGTTTCGTTCCCGTGGCACTGCAGTGTGAATCTAACATGCGGAACAGAGCTCGTATGCAGCTTAAATTTGATCTTTTGGATGATTACTGTTGAAGTTCCGGATATGGACCGTGTGGGCACATTTTCTGTAAACCGTCCACTGTTTTGGAAATCAAACCATCCAACAAATGAGTTGGTTTTCCGTCTCTTGTTTTGTTTATCTGTTTTTTGATCTGGCGCCACAGGTCGTCGGCTGTAGCGATAGGGTCGACATCGTCAAGGCAGGTAGCCATCGCTTTCTTCAGTACTATCCCTTTTTCAACAGTACCTGTGAAACGAATGTTAACTTGCCGCCGGTTCAGGTCAGAAGGACGATAGATAGATTTACAAAATGTATGTCCATTTTGGTCCGAACCAACTTGTGATCAGTTCCACACCCGGCGCCACGCTCTAGAGAGCGAGCATGTAAACGTTTAATCACTGGTCCATAGGTTGTGTGGGTACGGTACTTCCCGGACCGATGAAAAGGGTTGATTCGGATGAGTAGCAGGACTTTTAACGGTATTTTACTGGTTCATCCCAGCTGCTCACAAGCTAGATTAGTCTAACCCAAATCCGGAAAGCACCAGGGTTGACTTAGGGAAAGCGGTCAGAAGACTTGAGCCATAATGACTTGACAAGTAACGCAACGAGGGTAACGGAAATCTCGAACCGTTCGTCTATCAAAGCGATGATAACACAGACTTTGAGTAGGAACATCATCATCAAAACACGTTAGTCGAGGGTGAGAAACACACCTCAGCTAATGTGTCACAATACAAAAATGTAAGCTTGAACATTAAAGATTACGAAAGCTAAAAAGGTAACAAAATGCTAAAATCACATTATGCATTGGGTTGAGATCGTTGTGGAGGGGGAAGCTAAAGGGAAGAGGATGGACAAGGAGGCTCACAACACAAACGTCATTGAGCTTCTTTGTATTGCGTGTGCAGAACACTGTCAGGTTGGCCAGCCATGACAGGAAAACGATTAGGATTCTCGGCCGAAGCCTTTGATCCAAAAACCTGACCGCAATGCTGCGGGGTTTGGGCACTGGGCTACTGAGATTCCGTTTTATGAACTAAGGAGCCACCCACATTACAACCCCCAAACTAGGGGGGCTAGGAGACTGGGTTGATCTGGTGTCTAACCATTGACCAATATAGTATATAGGTGCAGTAGCACCACCCAGCATAGCCCAATGGATCGCTGAGGTACGCAAACCATTGCACCACTTTAAGGTCCAATCTTGTCGCGTTGGGAATTGGGACAGAGCACCCAAGTATAATGGTAGTGGGTAGTAGTATAGTAGCACGGAGGCCAGGAAGGTTTTCCTTTTCAACCGAACTCGCTGCTAGGCACGAAGGCCGTTAATGACCAGTTGGATCATACAACCACTAGGTTCAGGACAGCATGCAAACCGTCCATATTGGACCTTGTGCTCACGAATGAAGAGCTCGTGATTGCTAAGGTATTGATGGATAGTCCCTTAGGTCTCAGTGACCATGTAGTACTAACGTTCAACTATTTGTATTGTGCAGAGTATCCATTTGAACACCGAACTAAATCATATGGTCACACGCTACCACGTATTGAAAGAACTCGTCAACGCATCTGCTTGGGAATTCTCAAACAACAGTCCCCTTGACAACCTTTGGACAGAGTTCGTTGGAAGACTCTGACATCGTCAACATAGCACCAGAGACCAAGCCCCTTCGTCCTGCAAAAGTGCCTTCAATTCAAAGGGGCGGGACTCGAAAATGCATTGCGATAAGGGATGCTGCATGGCCTGCCTACACGGTTAACTCCGACTCAGAGAGTAGGGGCGATTTCCTGAGCCATCGTAACCATTGCACTATACTTGTCCTTGAGGACAAAGTAACATCAGTGCCTAGCCAAAAAATTCCTGGCGAACAACAGACTGCTGTACAGACATGTCAACAATCTTCGTAAAGTGAAGCATGGCATCCCTCCACTTTTCATGACAGGCGGTAGAGTACAAAGCGCCTAAGAAGCAGCCTATGCCCTGCAGCTACAATACGCCCCAATTTTCGAACTCGCAGCCTCTACCTGTCCCATAATGTCATGCACATTACCGACTCCATTGTTTACAAATGTAATATTCAACCCATAAGTTATGCTAAGGAAGTTGCTCTCACTGTGCGATCATAGCTCTCCGGGAGCCGACAATATCCGCCCGAGAGCACTGGAAGCTGCGGCCAACAAGCTAGCTGAACCACCGTCACATTTCTTCCAAAGGTGCTTTGATGAACAACAACTCCCCACTATGTGGAAGCGTGGCATTATCACCCCAATTATTAAAGGCGGTAGCCGTTCAGATCCTGCAAACTATCGCCCAGTGACTCTCCTCCCTGTGCTCGCGAAGGTGAGTGATGGAAGCGATCGTCGCTGAGGCTTTAATGGACTACCTGGAAAACTGCAACATCTTGGTATAGGAGCAGCATGGCTTCTGTCAACACTTGTCATGCAGCACCAACCTACTGCTTGCGCGAGGTAGTTGGACGGAAGTGGCTGATGATGGGATCGGAGTTGACGCCATCTATCTGGACTTCTCCAAAGCTTTCGACTGCCTGGATCACCGCACCTTACTTCACCTGCTACAGAGCTACGGAATCGGAGATCCTGTACTTGGTTGGATTGGCAACTTCCTTCACCAACGGAAGCTTCAAATACGTATTAGGGGATCACTCTCTAACCCAATTGAGGTGGAATGTGGTGTCCCACAAGGCTCAGTGTTGGGACGCCGCTTATTCCTGGTATTTATCAACGACCTGGCAAGAGTTATCTTCTCAAATTTCCTGCTTTTCGCCAATGATGTCAAGATATGGCGGGCGATTAGCAACATTGAAATCACGATCTACTTCGACATGACCTAGTTTGCATTTTTGAATGGTCAAAGAGAAACCTGCTTCACTTGAACATAGATAAAGTGCAAGGTGATCCACCTGCGTCACCAGCCATTGAGCGATTACAAGCTTGGAGACCACACCTTGGAGAAAGCCTCTCAGGAGCGTGACTTGGGTGTATTGGTACAGGAAGATCTTGGGTGTTCAAAACAAGCAGAGAAGACGACGAGAACCGTCACTCAACACTTCGGCCTGCTTCGCAGAGCCTTCGCTCGGTTTGAATCCTCAATCTCTCCCCAAATGCTTAACTTCTAAGTGCGACCGCACGTGGAATATGCTATCCAGGCGTGGCAACCGTAGCAGAAACAGGATCTCGATGCTCACGAGACTCCTCAGCGAAGGGTAACTAAGAACGTCAGGTGCCGCTTTCATTTGCCCTATCAGCTTAGACTGAAGTCTCTAAGAATGTACAGCAGTCGATTTTGGCGTTTGCAGGGTGATCTCATAACGCTTTACCAGATTCTGAAGAACCCAAACCACATTTGCCGTCCGCTGCTGGAATTGAACCACAACCCTAACCTAAGAGGTCATCCTCTGAAACTGAGAATACAATATAGCCGGTTTGAATGCCTTATAAATTTCTTTTCCCTCCGCGTGTGCCAGCCTTGAGAACGCCCCCTCTAATTATGTCGTCTCTGCTCCCAATCTGGCGATATTTAAAAAACGAGTTGAGGGTGCCTTGTCTCATTTTCACTTCATTTTATGACTTGTTAGCCAGGGGCTACAAAGCGCAATCGAACGGTGTATTACCAAATTCCCAACCAATGGATTTCTCCTTTTAATACGCCAACATCTCCGCTATTCTACATAAGTCTATGGCGAGTCCATCAAAACGCTTTTTACTTTATCATGCAATTTAATTTTCGGACTAATTTCCATCCCATGGGACTTCTTAAGCATTGCTTTTTCACCCGTAATGCACCATTGTTCCATTATTCATTTAGAAGCTGGAGGTCATCAGGACAGTACATCCGCCCTCCGTTGAGTACTCACTCCTGGTCGTAGAAGTGTGTTCAGTGACCTTATAGCCGGTCACATTGGCTTTGACACAGCGCCCTACGAGCTCTTGCGGCACTTAATGAAGAAATAGATGACCAGCCCAGAACTCTGCAACGCTGCCGCTGGTTGTCTGCGAGTGCTTTTTTTTATCTCGCTTGCCGAATAAACAAGACGTTTCATAGTTACTTCCACAGTGAATGCATTTCCCGATCCGCAGCCTGAGGGCGCGCTCGATAGTATGCAGCACAGCCGAGTCAACTAGTGGTCAATTCACTTTGGGATTGACAACAGTGTTCATTAGCAGTAACCGTTTGGCATGGAATTTTCATCAAAGCAGTGCTCCCTCACTTTGCACTCATGCTTTTCGAAGTGATACTTTCCGTGATGTCAGCTCTGTTGATAGCCCCTAAGTGCCTTGTATGGTCTGGAAGCATTGCGACGCCACGTGAGTTATGCTAGTAAGTTGTCGTCTGATCTGGGCTGGATATATGCTGACTGCACTGGTGTTTGGCCTAAACCGTTTCTCTGAGCTTCTTCGAACTTTTTAGTCTCCTTGACGTGGTTTAATAGTGTGGAAATCATCTACCTTGCAATCGTGGTTTGCTTTAGAACTTACCTATTAGTTCATTCGCAGCAGCCGTGGTCGACATTTAAAGTGCGCGTTTTCTTGTCTCGGGGTATCACGTAGCCATGTTTGGCCAGCGAACACATTTCAACTCCACTCTGGTGTCCAGACAGCGACGACAATTGTATGCCCCGCCCCGCGTGCCAATTGTTTGAGCTCTGAGGCTGAGCAGCTGCAACCGAGTTTGCAACGTTCATCTGGGCTTATCAATCATTTGTCTGGCACCTTCTTATATAGTAGCCTTTATAATATTTATATAGAACCAATGAAAGACATGCTTGGTCAAATAAAACGGTTTATTACGAAAATCTCTGGTCAGCATATTTCCTGATTCAAGTCCAGTTTTTATAAGTGATAGGCAACTTATTCACATGATTTCGAACATGAAAGACAGTGTTCAGTTTGCATCAAGGCACCGGTGAGTCGTATTTGTGTCCACTGTGAGTCAGCTGCGGTGAAGTGAGGCCCCACCAGCCCAAGCTGATAGTCCACTGCTCAGATTGTCCAGCAGCCTCCGCTTTCGGACGCCCGACGGAGCAGCATTGTTGGATTCCTGTTTGACGCTCTGCGTTGTCTCCTCCACCTGGTTTGCAAAAAATTCATGAGCATAATGAATTCACAAGTGGAAAGCTGAACCATCACGCATTCAGAACACAAACTTGGGAAAGAACAAAGCATCGATTCCTTGGATCACTAGACGCCTTTAGGTAACTGCAGACGCAGTAGCATCCACTGGTTGTGTTTTCCACTTTTGTTATTGTACGCTGGCTGTTTACTTTCCTACTGAACACTTCCCTTAGTGTGCCTGGGGACCGGTTAAAATGGTAGCGTTGATATGCGTTCACCCCCTCCCCCTTATAAAATTCCGTGCTGCTCTAGAATCGTAAATGTTGCGTAAAAACACCGTTGTTTAATCAACATTTAAACCACCTGCTGTTGGATTGATTTATAACATCACCGCTTATGGGAGATAAGTTGATGTTAAGTAAAAACACGACTCACTTGAAGCCGTTGGGACACAGTTCGGTACACGATTGTGTCCAGTACTGTGTTTGATAATCCCTGGAGTTCGAAATAGCAGAATATTTTCTGCAAAAATAAAGCGGAAATGTATATGCCACGGCTATTTATGCAGGCTGCTTCTGTTTGGTGGAATCGTGGGACGGACACGCAAGCGTAAACACTGCACGTAACTTAATTCGCGTCACCTATCGTAAAAACTTGAATCGAACACTGCAAGGTTGCCCGACTAACAGTTAATAGAACCGAATCGTCCCATCATCACGTGTTCCCAGGTGAACATCTCTGTTGATCACAAGCTACCTCATTCTAGTCACTCGTTAAGGGATTACGCAGATACGCACCTAACGACCCGGTCCACAAACCTGTCTTCGGCTCAAGCTGTACGTCCATGGATACTTTTTGTAATGCAATATTTATGTCCCACTTGGTTGAAGGCACACACCTTTAGTGTTTTTCAAGCATGGAACCTCATCAATAGAGTCACAGTGCTATTTAGACTGCCACCCTCCAGAGTTATAGTGTCCCAGCTTGCTTGTAGTCGAAGCTACTGAATGAAGTGCAGTCGATTAAATTAAAGTATAGAACGCTAATTTCTATACACCAGTCAGAGTTAAAATCGACAAATGCATGAAACGTCAAATCACAGCAGTGTTTGATAAGCAGTTCCGATTGTGGCCGCGTGGATCACTGGCTCGAGTCAGATGACCAAGCAGCGCAACTTAGAGACGGATGAAGCGCCATGCTAATGAATTTTCACTTGTTTGAGTGCAAAGTTAATCAATTCATTGTGTCGATTATTTCTGCTGCATTTCCTGTTGAAATACATCTATTTTCGTTGGGATGTCTAAGCACACGTACTAAATGTTCTTGCGGAAATCAACTGGATCGACTTCGCCGGCCTCACGAGGAGCGTAGCCTATGGAGGTTACAATGGAATCATCGTTCTCCATTAACTCTTCCTCTCGCCTGTCACAATGATCGACGTTAGATGAAATGTATGACTACAGTGGCTTGCTAAAGATTCAATGAGAAACAACTGTTGTTTAAGCCCTTACTACTTACATTCCTACTTGGATTGACAAAATAAACATGTTGCGCACCGCTTGGTCATCAAAGCGTGCACATATTAGAAAAGTGCAACTGATTGTAATGTGAGACTCACTTTTACAATCGTCGAAAGGCATTTTGTTTGATGAGGGTGAAGGAGCATATTTTTTCGATGGATGAGCCATTCATAGATTATGCGCATCTGCCGTGTGTACCAGGTCTGGCGGAAAAAATTGGTAACAATAGGGAGGCATGTATGTTGCCGAACGATTTGGCGGCTGCATGCTCATCTTAACTTCCAGTTGTTACAGTGCATTGTTTTCCAGTTAAATCTACCGTAAACACCTGTGTTACTGATAACTGAGCGGTGCACCCGTTACCCCTATTCCTTGCCCCTTACAATTTAACGCAATAGACACGTCAAGTGATTTAGGGATTGCCGACATTAGGTGATTAAATTTACTCGGCCCTGACCGTATCTTCAGGGTTGCGTCAATCCTACCCACAACCCATTGTTCCTAGCTGCACTGATCTCATTCATCGGCCACAGCAGTGCCGATAATAAATTTGGTAGGATAAAATTTTGGGGGATTTGTATTTCAATTCTATTCGGACGCATTTTATGTTTTAATCACAGAATGTGGAAGGTATAAAAATTGGTTTTCCAGAACCACCATAATTTGACAAATGTTGATCTTCCCAAGTAACGTTGGGACCATCACCATCTCCAAAGCTGAGATAGCATGGATACTACGAGTCGACAAATGAGGGATTACTTTGTGATCTTGCAGGAGCGTTCGAAGTTTCATCTGCTAGCAGTCTCTAGTATGCCATGTAGCCTTACCTACGTGGTGACCGCATCCCAGAATGTCGAATCTTTCATCAGGTGACAAAGTTCCATCCGGCCACCCATTTCACATATATGATACGTGGGGCTCTTGGCCAGCAAATGCAGAATGAAATAAAATTGTTGCTTTGCTGAAATGCGCATCTGCGCAGCATCACTCGCGTGGACAGTGCTGTGGAAACTGAACTTCTTACTCTGTATGCAAACCACACAAGCCACATTTCTCATCTTAGTCGACCGTTTGAACTCATGTTTAGTCTAGCCTCCAAAAGCGAAATTTGGATTCACTAAGGCTGTTGTAATTTCGCCAATATGTCATTCCTTTTATAGAGCTGATGGACATGTTCAGCTGTGCTTCACTCTGGTTGCATTCATTGATCGCTGCCATCGGGGATATCCGGATTATTATTACGCATTCTCCTCCACTTTATTGCACTGTACATCTGTAGGCTATTCGAATTTTTTTTATCGTAACGCGGGATTTCATGAGACCCTGTAGGAGTACAAATTGGATGCTCTAAATATTTCCTTTGCTCGTGGCATTTGAAATGATGGGTAAAACAGTTTCATAAGCCACTAATCGGTCACGCATCAAGTCTCCAATGCTCCATTTCGTCGCACTCACTTGAAGCCTCTCAGGCGGTTTCCACTGGTTACCTAGATGATAATATGCAATGTATGCCATTTCATATTTCTGTCAACCATAATTGCTAGTTGACAAAGTACGTCACCACTGATCTACCAACGGTCGCCATGGTCGTCGTTCTGCCATTTCTCCTGACACCCTACCGTGCGGCCGCACTGTAACTCGTCTCTCGCTTTGCCCTTTGTGGCCACTCCAATTCTCCTCACAAAATATTGTGCGTGCGCTCGTTCGAACCAGTTCGACGAGCTCTACTCAGTGCTTCCCAACTCTTGGATCTAACCGGTGTGGATTATACTCTTTCTCCAGTTCCCAGTTTTCGGCATATTCTTTGCCGAATTTCACTTGTGTAACTACATCAGACCGGTCTTTCGGAAAAGATTCTGGTCTCATTCGGAAGAAGAAGCTGAGGGCTCCCAAACTACGCGGCAAACCATCCCTGCAAGTTGCAGCATACCAAAGTTAGAGCCTTTTTGCTCCGCTCATCAACTGAGCAGCTCTCAGGAAGCTTATCAGCGCTCCACCTGCATCGTCGCTTAAGGCAGGCCGATTAACACACGCTGCCGCTTTGTTTGTGTGTGTACCACTGCAAGTCTATTGATCGCTGAATCCGACAGTCTGCGCGTTACGACCCCCATCTGCCCCTACGCCTGACCTTGGTGCGGTCGAACAACTCTCAGTTCGTGTGCGTGTTCTGACCTATTCGTGCGTCACCCCTAGCGCAAAATACACTCACCAAGGCTTTGTTGTAAACAAGAGGACAACTAGCATTCCTATGGTTCAGCGTCGCCTATGTTGTGCCGCTTCGATCGGCCGACACTTATTGACCACAGGTCACCGAGTCTAGGTTAATTCAGCGTTCACAATCCTTTTACAGCACACCAATTCTCGCCTCCTCCGTTTCGCAGAGGCGATTGTAATTAACCGGATCAAGCCGCTGCTTTGGGTTCAGAAACAATTATCGGTCAGTATTAGACTGCCCTGGGGATAAGGGTGATAACCCTGTCTCGCTTATCCTGTATTGGTCTGTCTGTTTGCATGTATGTTTGGTCGCACCCTTCACTGAATAAATAGTATTGCGTTATTGTTAAAGGCACTGATGAGACAATACGAAATGCGTGCATTTGCCAGTCTTCTTCTTCTTACTGCGCTTTTCAAATGTGCCTAAGACAATAAGAGAACCAGTAGAATCAGTGAAGAAAAACAACCCCAACCCATCATACCTTCAGGTCACGGTAATCCCTACCGGTCCACAAGCTTTTCCTGAATCTCTAATGTCACCGATGAAGTCGTTTGTGAGCCAAAACTTACTACATGGTTGTAACAAAAACGTCTCGTTGGCAATGATTTGTCGCACACGAGAAAAATTTAACCACTGTTCTAAAAAACTGGGGAAATTGGTAGTAACTACTCATAAAAAACGGTATTAACACCAGGTATCACATAGAAATCGGGATTTCTATTATTTCATCATCTGAGGTGACTGAGGTGGATTGGAAGATTCAGTGTCGCAAAGCACACTACCAACTGCAATTTGTACTGCGAATGATTCCAAGAATCTTCGTTTTAGTCCCAATAGGAGAACGATGTGGCATATCCGCAATACTGAATCAACTTTCGTTATGCAACACATGAAATGTCACTTTGGAACTTACGTCTTGCCAGTGACATGGTTAGCGCAAATCGAATAGCTTATATGCAGCAGATCAGGATCCACCTTCATTCCGTGTTCTGCTTTGTCCAATAAACTGGTCAAGTAGGCGAGGTGACGCTGGCACTCACGGATGCCATACCGGGAACAATATTCTTCAAGCAGAATTTTCTGTCCTGGGCTAAGCCAGCCTAGTGATACAAAGGAGTCCTGTGGAAAAAAAACAGTTTCAGCCAGATTTAGATGGGTACACTAATTGCATTTCTTTCTGAGTTGTGCAGCGTTTAGTTGGGTTGGTATCAAGGTGCAACTGAAGGAGAGGCACACAGTGGGCAGCACTGATGTAATGGTAAACGTGAAGTAATCATTCTACGTTCAAATGGGACTCAGAGGATGACAGTTATTCTATTACCTGAACGAGTGAGCTATTTACTAAACCACTGCTTAGTGTAGTTTAGTCAGCCATGAATACCAGGTGTACAGACCATAAGAAATGCAAGGCAACGAGGTCTCCAGCTGTTACTCGTCCGTCCGTGCTCTTGTGATTTCCGAGGAAGCCGCAGGAGTAAGCGAAGAGGTATAACGTTCTACCTCTACGTGTAACCAAGTAAATAAAATATGAGGCACTGAAGTATGTTATTTATCTTATAAGGTCGCAAAACCACCTTCAAGCGAATCCCAATCGCTTAGACAAAAGCAGTGATTCTTTGTTTCTCTCAGGCGCACATCGAGTGAGGCCGGCACAGAATCACGGGCCAAATATTAACCCAGCTAATTGTGGGTTTGTTACGCAGTGTGTGTTGTGTGAACGCAATGCGACATGCAAACTCATCCCGGTCCGCGTTTCACTTTGAGATGATCCTGGTTCAGGTTGGTCACTGGAGCCTCATCGGAAGCGGACAAATTTTAACTGGCACTCGATCCCCAGATTCACACCGTACGACCGGCTACGTACTGAGATGCGTCCTTCAAGTAGAAATACTCCAGATTGGAATCGCACCGGGTTCGACTCTATCAACTTGAGGAGCGCAATCATGCACAAAGCCGGCGGTGCAGTGAGGTGTTTTGAGTGGAGGACGCCTAGGGACTACCTGGGCTGTTTCCTTGAACAATTCTCAAAGCGCAACTTGTAAGTGGGAGGCATTTGCAGTTCCAGAGAATGTAACGTCACACTTAACAAAGGTGGGCGCATAAAGTGATAAATGGAGGCTTTCATTTCCCGCTCCCGATTCCACAACTTTCGTTATAAATTGCGTGAACGTAAGAACTCTCAAATAGGTTAGCTGGGGAACGATTAGCAGTGGATGACCTAGCATAGGCAGGGCATACAAGAATATATGTTTTGGCAAAAAGCGGGCGGAATGTTTGATCACGTGGAAAAACAGCAGTACGATCGATTTCCAAGCTGGTTGGAATGGAGGGTACCAGCTCTAATTAACGAAGACGGGTCAAATGGATTCCAGGTGACTTGTGCTGGAGCAAGGGAGCCGATGATCTTGAACCTTCTTGGGGAGGAAATATTCAGTAACCATAGGGTTTTGTCAAGATCTTGTCGTATATTCAAGCTTACAAAGGATTCGGCAGAGCACGGCAAATAAGATTTTCCGCGGCAACGGCGCAGCGAAGCAACTAACTAACTTGCAGCTTTTAACGTACGCACATTACTGCAGATTGGTCAGCAAGCTGGAGTTGCACGCACGCTAGAGACCCTTGGAATTGATATCTGCTGCCTGACTGAAACACGACTCCAGGACTCTAACTCGGTCTACCAGCTGGTGTCACCGCTCCATCCACGCACCCGGTTCCATCTCCGCCTATCTGGTGACGCCGAGTCTGCCACATCTGGGCAAGCTGGTGTTGGAATCGCCCTCAGTGCTAGAGCCGAGACTGCTTTGATTGATTGGATTCCGATCAATAGCCGCCTTTGTACGATGAGGCTCCATGGCTCTTGTAAGGTCAGCAGACGTCGAGTCGAAAAGCGTGCTCTCTTCGTGATCTCTGCCTACGCGCCCACTGACTGCAGCTCAGATACCGTCATAGACCAGTTCTACCCGAACCCTTCATGAGCTGCTCCTAAGGGCTCCTAAAACAGACATCATTGTTTTGGCAGGTGACTTCAACGCGCGTGTCGGTCGTCTGCTGCCATGTGAGCGCCACCTCGGAGGACCGCATGGATATGATGATGTTCGCTCAGACAATGGAGAGAGACTGCTCAGTCTTTGTGCTGATCATCAACTATTCCTCTCCAGCACCAGCTTTCGTCATCCTGGACGCCAGTACGCCACTTGGCGCCCCCCATCATCAACCCAGCGCTGGTCACAGATTGACCACATAGCTATAAGTCGCAGGTGGCGCGGCAGTGTACGCGACTGCCGATCATTTTGGTCAACATGCGTCGACACCGATCATGCACTGGTGTGTGCGACCGTTTGCATGCGTTTTGGTGGTTTGCCTAGGTCAAAACACACCCGACTGAACGCCTACAAGTTGGAGGACCCAATGGTGAAGAGAGATTATCAACAAAAGCTTCGCGAAAAGCTCCCTCTCTCTCACACTCTGGATGTTGATCAACACTGGTCAAGTCTCCAGCAAGCCTTGTTGTCGGCCGGTTTGTCCAGCTGTGGCCTCACTCGCTCCACTCCCAAATGCTGGATCTCGGGAAGATCATCAGAATTGCTGGATCGTCGACGGGCGGTGCCTGCTGGCGCAGAGTACAACGAACACCGCCGGTCTATTACGCAACGGCTGAAAGCAAGCCTTCGCTCTGATCGTGAATCTTGGTGGTCAAAACAAGCTGGTGAGATGGAAGCCGCTGCATCAGCTGGCAACTTCCGCCGTCTGTTTTACATCATCAGGGTCACTGGTTGCAATTTTCACGCTATCAGCCAGACGATTTGCGAGGCAGACGGCACGAAGATCACCAACCTTCGCAGACGATTGGGTCGCTGGTCAGAGCATTTCGCTCTTCAATTCAACCACCCAACACAGTCCCCTGCGACACCTCCAGCCCCAATGTATGATGCTTGGCCTGTCTCCACAGCCCCCCAAATGAAGCAGAGATTCGAAATGTAGTCCAATCTTTGAAACGCCACAAAGCCTCGGGTCCCGACAACCTACCACCAGCTCTATTCAAAGATGGTGGGAGTGCACTTATCAGCGAAATCCTATCGCTGTTCACGAAAGTTTGGACTGAGGAGAAGCTTCCGAGCTCATGGGGAGAATCGGTCATTGTCCCGATTCACAAGAAGGGTTCCCGCGACGATTGCTGCAACTACCGCGGAATCTCCCTAATCTCTGTCGCATCCAAAATCTTCGTGTCGGTCCTACTTGGCAGGCTTTCAACGACTAGAGAGGAGTTTTCCCGAGAAGAAGAAGCTGGATTTCGTCCAGGTCGTGGCTGCATCGACCAAATCTTCACGCTTCGGCAAGTTCTCGAACTTCGTCACATCCACCGGCGGCCAACAATCGTAGTGTTTTTGGACATCCGAGCGGCATTTGATTCAGTAGATAGATCTGCGTTGTGGAACTGTTTACTGAAGAAAGGTGTGCCCGACAAGTTTGTAACCATCCTGAAAGTACTTTACAGTCACACGTCGGGCAAAGTTAGGGCTTAAGGCACGCACTCCTCTTCATTCGCTGTGACCAGCGGTGTTCGCCAAGGTTGCCCTATTTCACCTTTCCTCTTCAATTTCGCCATCGAAGAGGTTCTCCAAAGAGCACTGGAAGGTGTCCTGGACTGCGGTGTTGAGCTTCTCCCTGGAGACAGACTCACGGACTTGGACTACGCCGATGATATCGCCTTGCTGGGGGACGACCCACAATCCGTCCAGAACGCTCTGGACCGCTTGGCGATGGAGGCGTCTAAGTACGGCCTGTGCTTCACTCCGGGAAAATGTAAAACGCTGCTCCAGGATTGGCAGGTGCCTGAACCCGCGCTCACCATTGCTGGACATGTTCTGGAGCAAGTCCCTTGCTTCACTTACCTAGGGAGTTGCATCACGGCTGGTGGCGGTGTTGGAGATGAAGTCTCACAACGGATTGCAAAGGCCCGCCTTGCATTCATCAAACTGAGACATCTATAGCGTCGTCGTGATGTCACTCTCAAGCTCAAGGGCAGGGTGTACAATGCTTCCGTCCGTGCAGTACTCTTGTACGGCTGTGAGACGGCCTATTCGCTCGGAAGATATGATGCGGCTATCAGTCTTTGATAATCGCTGTCTACGAAGGATTGCTAGGGTGTGGTGGCAACACCACGTAAGCGACGCAGAGGTGAGAGACCGCGTGCTTGGGGCGAATAGTGCCAGTCTTCAAGACATTATTCTCCGACATCGCATGCGCTGGCTCGGGCATGTTCTGCGCATGCCAGCCCATCGCCTTCCACGTCGAGCGCTATTTGCACTCCCAGGGAGCGATTGGAAAAAGTGCCGCGGTGGACAGCCGATGACGTGGAGAAGGAGTATGAAGAAGGCGACCTCAAGTTTGGCAGCAGTCGGACCAGTCCGCCTTCCAGGTTGGGGACCACGAGATGCTGAATTGCAGTGGTTGGAAACATTGGACGTCATGGCCCGCAACAGACATCAGTGGCGGCAATGTTGTTCCGCAATTTCACCATCCCTTTGATACACACAAAAACTCACAAAACAAAACAAAAATACAAAATGGCGTGTGTAAAACCAAAAAAATTCGTTTCCCATATTTTTTAATCGCATTAGTGTCCCCATCTTCACCTTTTTCTCCTGCCATGGTTCTGATGGCACAATGTCTGTTAACAGACTGTGAATAAATATAAATATATATAGGAAAAATGATACATCGTGCCCGATAGCAGCTTGGAATTCACTTAGTGCGTGCGGATGAGTTGTCGACAAGCTAACCCGAGGGGATATGCCCCCCTTCAACCCGATATTATGCTCGAATATATCTGCGATCAACGTAAACAGAGATTAAATTTGACCTTCAGGGGAAATCTTCGTAATTTGATTGTGCAAATGGGGGCACGAAATGACTGACAGCCAGTGCCAATCTGTCCAGTGTTGCTTGACACGTCTGTGAGCAGTCACAGATGAGGGAAATATCGTTGGCATCCGACAAGTCAAGAAGTCACTCATCTGGGAACAGCTCCACACCTTCTAAGTCGTGTCCAATGAACGCAGTTTGCAGGACATTGCCAAGCGCGAAGTTGGAAAGGAAAGGCGACAGCAAGCATCCTGCCTCACACCGCTAGAGCTATTGAATGGTGGTGAAGGTTTGCGCTCTGATAATGTTTGCGTATTTCTTGGACACACTTTTCCTAATCAAGCAGTCCCAAGTTGCACACCGATCCATCGAACCGAAGACACTGTAGATATCGAGGGTCGCCAGTATGTGTGACGGTGCTCAAAATTGACCTAAATTGGAGCTGTGGGTAATGCAGGCTCGACTTCGAAGCAATCTGGTTCGCTCTACACGAATTTGGACCTCACGGGTGCCAGGCAGTCAATGAGGAACGAAAGTGGTAAGTAACTTGGAGGTGATAGAGGCCAGATTGGTACCTCAATGACTGCCAAATTCCGAATGTGAACCTCCGCTGCAAATCAGGACGATAGCAGAACAGCTGCAGTCGGTTGGGACATTTTTCTGCTCCCATGGTTGCATCATAAATTTTGCAGTTCGTAGACAAGAGCAGATGTCCCAAATTTGGAGAGGACTAGAGTAAACCCATATAGTCTTACGGCCCCGCACAATTTCAACAATGTGATCTCCAGTTCGACTTTTACGAGAGAGGGTGGATACAAAAGGAGGGCCCCGGCAGAAGAGCACTCAATGGTTGGTAGCGTATTTCGTAGTTCCGAAAGGTCAAACTGCTTTTCAAAACGTTCAGCTTAACGCTCCAAACGTTTTGACGGGTTGTGGATAAGCTGTTCACTCCCGTCGCTTATAGTTTCACTGATACCAGGTCTCCAGCTGCCCGTTTTCCCTTATAAGACGGAATAACTTGCAATGGTTACCAAGTGCAACGGCTGTTACCGTTTCCGATGAACAAAGAAACCGCCAGGTTTCGCACTCTCTTTTCTGTCTAGTAGGCAGTTTTGTGCTGAGATTTTTATGAGTGTCGTGTTCGCCTCCAGCCGGAATGAGCCAGTGAGCCTCGAGAAGTTCCAGAGACTGTGTAAAGACCCAGTGCCCATTCTGCCAACTGAATATGCCGCAGGAAGACGTTTGCCGTTATTAACGTCTGGCGAACATGTGACCAGTGGCAGTCAACTGTGTTCAGTGAGTGCACACTTGTTTCGGATACCAGCGTACTTTGGTGCGCACCCAGTGCATCTGGCTTCGCCATTTGGCGGGTTTCTATGTGCTCACAGCGTCATTGCGGGCATCCGCCGAAACCCACTTGCAGGGAAACACATAAGTACATGGTCAGTGCCCACACTTGTGCTCCAAATCGACCGACAGTTTTGGACGCAACCTGCCCAGCGATAACGGAGCGCGATGTGATCGATTTGGGTTCATGGCTAGTGGTCGTCATGTCATTTTTCTGCGGCTGCCTTGTCGGAAATTAGTGCTCACGAGAAATAGACGAGCATCTGCAGACAAGTGTAATGGCCGCTCAGTATTATCATTACAGGAACCTACGCCGTGTTTTCCGCCCAGATGAAACTCAAAACTGGGCAATTTTCCAACCTGAGTGTTCAGATCACCAGCCAACACTACAGTATCCGTACTTTTGCAACGACGGGGCTCGTTCAGTTGACAATAGAAGTCATCTTTACCTGAGTCAACGGTGTAGTTTGTGGGGACGTAGGCAGCGATGACAAATAGGCACCTGCTGGCTCCGCGCGACTTCGAGGCTTTGAAGGAGTCAACCAATCTGTTGGTGCATATCGGGCTGCCGATTTGAGTCCAGTCGATTACGACAGCATCAGCCCGTGAACTCACAGTAATGCTCACACCGGTTTGACCGGACTTTAAAGCCGCGTCCATCTCCAGTTAGACGCAATAGAAAGTATCGCTAGTGTCACATAAAGAGGAACGTATGATGAACATAGAGCTCGACTCTTGCAGGAGGGTTTCCAATAACTTGTATACATGGACCGATGGAGTCTCTAGTGTTCGGACAATTGCTGCTGGTTGGCTGCTCATTAATAGATTGCGCACCTTGAGGCGTTTAAGCCTTAGCGAGGATTTGGGGCTCTAAATGGAAACGGATGAACAGGTTATCTGAATAGTTGGATGTGAACTTGTCAACAGGGCAGAAGTGACGCTTCGAAATTGCATGTAAGTCAGAAGTGGAGGACAAACGTCTATCGAAGCAAGATGGGAGAAGGCCGACCATGGCGGGTTGAAAACAGGAGTGATAAAACTGAAGTTGAAGCGGAACGATAAGGATGAAAAGTGCAGGAAAGGGGAATAAGAAGACGAGTAGGCCTGAGTAGTAGCATCATCATCTCTATCCATCCTGCTCGGTGTAACAGATATCGTTCAGTTGCTCAAACTTTGTGACAGTTAGAGCTTCAATAAATTATATGGAGATGTTCATTGTGTTGCGTGGGTAGGAGACTGTCAAGTTGCCCAGGTCTAGACACGAGGACGAGTATGAGTCTTAGCGGGAAACTTGGGTTCAAAAAATGATCACTAGCAGTAGGTATTTGGCAGTGGGCTACAAGGTCGTTGTAAGCTTCAGAAGATAGAGTTTGTCTTGTCTCTAACCGCTGATCAATGTGGTTTGAGCAGCTCGGAAGATGCAAGAGGCACTACCCAACACAGCTCAATGCATCGTGAGGCACGCAATGCATCGCACCACGATCAGATCCAGCCCCATCGTTCAGAACAGTTGGGTTTTACTCTAGGCAACCCTTCTGTCTGTTTGTTCTTCAACTTTGGAAGGTCATGGTGGGCGAGCAGTGATGATGAGTGCGTACGAACGACAGATGTAAAACTGCTGCTGTTGCTAGTAGCTGAAAATACTAAAGTAGTTTAAGAACATTCGCACTCACTTGCAGGCGATAGCTCAGACTTCGTGCCTGTAGTTCTGTAAATAGCTCCACGTGACAGAACGCATGAGGCGGTTTTGAAGCCAGCTCCTCAATTCCGGTCGCATGTCCTGCCTCGGATTCTGTGCATGGTTAAAGCATGACAAGTAAAGTCGGTGAGCAGATGGCAACAATTATAACTTCCGCAATGCCTAGAATTCAACCACAGAAGCATACGTATTGGTAGAGACACATTAAAAAGTACAGTGGCTAATACTAATAACGTCCGTCCGCGCACTTGTAGCTGCAGTGCATGAGCTCATTGGTTTCGAACTTGGTTACAGCTTTTCTAAATCAACAGGAGAGAAGCTATTATAACGCTCAGCACTATGTTACATCTTATTAACTTAGTCACGTCGATTGTTGCTGTGTTATGCGGTATATTGGTAATAACGGGTATTAGCCCCAAAGGTATGTGCATTGCTGACAACTGACGAAAGGATGAAACGGCTGTGAAGTTCTTTTCTGGTGGTGCGATGGTTCTTTAAGTCTAGATGCGATGAATTCCTCTTTATACAATTCAGATCACCCTACCACTTCCTTGTAATCAATCATAAGTGCCACCGACGATTCCGTTTTGTTCTGTGAGGTGTGAAAACGCTAGTATCAAATTCAGCGCCCGCTCAGGCGATCTGTTTTCCCACCATGTGGAAGATAGAGTTCTGGCTACGAACCTCGCATCTGTGATTGGAGTGCTAATACGTGGATGAAATAATTACCGCAAACCCATAAACCTGGTCTCCTATACGTTACATCAGTCGACTGCACATTTGTGTGTGTGCGTGTGTGCGTGTGTCAATAGGCGTGTGTGATTCATGCCTTACCTTCACTGCGCTCATTGGATCATGTCTAATCAAAATGCCGAGTTACAACTCAGCGCATACTGCTACCTGCTTGTACACGTGCAAGCCTAATTGGTCTTAGGACCTACTTCCATTGCTCCGTGCGCGTTTCGGATTTCATTTAAGCGTAAGGATTTGGCGACGGTGGGCTAACTCGATAACGTCACTTCCAGCATTTGGGAACCCCTTCACTGAGAGGCCAACGCACAACGCTGGATGCGACGGAAAATACATTTACGAGCTACATTGACATTCTTGTTGTGCTTGGCTTCAACAACAATATTGGCAACGGTGCGAAAATTAAACTACTGCGCCATCACCTCCGTCACGCGGGTCGGCGACAAGTCGATAGTCTGCAGCTACACTTGAAACAATATCTCCATACGGTTTTCCTCCCTCGATCGATCACGGGGTGAATAACAACGTGCGTTTACGGCGCGTCACAGGTTTAACACGATGAGCCTGAATGAGTTTATATCTCGTTTCCTTTACTACCCTCCCCGACTGAGAATAGGATGGAATTTCGTCGAATCACTTCGAAGAAACAACGCTCGTCCGAGCATTAATTGTTGGTATACTTGATGAATAAGCACGAGAGCGGCTGCTATGAACAGTTGAAGAGCTCCTGACTTGGGAGCAAGCATGCGATATAGTTCGCCAACGTGCCAACTTCGTTCGGGAACTCGCGACCAAATTTTATCATATGGGGTGAGCAAAGTTTCCTAACTCAATTATGACCGCACATGGATTGCCACATGTCGTACAGCACAGATGTCTCCGTCGTTCTCGTTGTGGTAAACGAGTCCAAATGATTGTAAGAATTATTCACTGTGTAAATTTTGTAGCAAGAAGGCCCCCATTCAGAAAGTATGCCTTTTCAAACGTAATGTGTTCACGGGAGTTACATCCGAAGCAGTAAATCTTGTGACAGGGGAGTTGAATAAGAACTGGGTCAACGCCACAACAGTGTTTGCTCGCAATGTGTCGGTAGAAAGCCGTTTGTTATATCTCCGCAAGTAAATGATCAGCCTGTGGCTTTCGAAATTGATACTCCTTCAGCAGTTACGTTGTTAAGGTCAGATAACCTATCGCAGCTACCAAAAATAGACCCATCCAACTACAACTGCGATCTTACACTGACCAGGTGGTAAATGTCTTCGGCACATATCTCTTACCGCAGTTCGACTAGTTATATGTGCGTGTACGTATCTGAGGGGCCAGGTCCAAAGATACGTGGTCGCGACGGCATTAGAAGTTTAACACTATATCAAACATGAACTCAGCTGAAGATCATCAGCAAATAACCAATATTTTATCGAAATACGCAGCCTTGTTCAAGCGAAGCACGCATGGGAGGTTTAAGAATTACAGTACATTGTCGATCGGTGACTACACTCCACATCTCAACGCACTGATGATGTCGCGTCGCATGGCGGTGAAAGGTTTGCAAACAAATTTCCCTGCTCGGCAAATGAATGAGCAACTGAATTACAGTACATATCTGATACTTAAAGCAAAAACGTCGCCAAAATTTTGGTTAGCGCGCACTGTGTCTTACGTGCTTCTGGAAAAGTCAAAAGGGAACTACTCCGGCTGCATGAAGTATGTACGACTGAAGCTGTCCAGTACTCAAACTGGGCAGCACCCATTATGGCCGTGTTAAATATTGACGGGACTGTGAGAATCAGTCGAGACTAAAAAAATACATTCAAGCAGGCACTACGGTTTGACCGATACCCGCTGCCAAGGATAGAAGATATTTACGCGTCATTCTCTGGTGGTGAGGTTTTGCCACAGTTTAGCAATCACGGAACTAACGCCCAGTACCTGGCTGTTGGCCGAAGTATCAAAAAGCAAAACAGGTCAGGCAAATGGAGGGCAAAACGTGCATTCTAACCAGCATGTTGTATAACGCATCAATCCACTATTCTACATTAAATCTAAACAGAAATATCAGAAGACGTAAGCTGTGAGATGACCCGATCATTTGGTGCCTATCTCCTCAGTCAGGTACAAGGTAACTAACAATTTGAAAACAAGGAAGGTCGGATGCGGTCGATTGGTGGTCAGCTGATGGTCAACTAGTACTGAGGCACTACCACGACAGGCTCAATGTTAATGTCAACTGCTTTTGTACGCACAGAGGCGGCCGCTCGCGATCAATTACGATGGCTTCAAGTAGCTTGAATATATGCGGCCTTTGGTTACACATGAGGACAGTAAATGAGTCACTTGGGTCGACCTTTCCTACAACAATTTCTTGATGCTCTGGCCGTCGCAGAGGATAATAAACGGCGCCCTATCTGCTACATCAAGCAGCGTGGATAGGGTTATGGATGCTACTGCTTAGGCCTTCCCGTCTTCTTATACCCCTTCTTGCGCTTCTGCATCCTTATCGTCCCGCTCTAACTTTACTTACATCCCCCCATTTTCAATCCCCAATTCTCGGCCCTCCCCCAGCTTACTTCAACAGTCGCTTGTCATCTGGTTTCAAATCACACACAATCGCAGGGCCTCGCTCCAGTCGACAAGTCCATGTTCAACCAAGCGGACAACGTCAGTTCACCCGTTTCCCTTTGGAGTCCTCGATCATCGCTAAGACTGGCATGCCTCAAAGTGCACACTTTGCCGCAGATTGGCCAACAGGCAGCACTTGCCCGCATACTAAAGACCCTATCGATCGATCTTTGTCGTTTATCAGAAACCCGTCTGCAAGGTTCGAGCTCCGTGCTTACACTAGGATCCCCACATGCAACACTGGCGGCACATTCTCATTGCGCCTATCTGGCGATGATGCAGCTTCAAGTGACGGTCAAGCTGGCGTCGGCATTGTTTTGAGTCCCTGGGCTGAAGCTGCCCTGATTCACTGGATCCCAATCAACAGTCGGATGTGCGCCGTTAGATTAGTTGGTTCGTTTCGTGCTACTAAGTCGCGCGGGGACAAACGATGCCTGTTTGTCATTGCGGCCTACGCCCTTAAAAACTGTAACACTGATTCGATAAAGGATGATTTCCATCAGTAACTTCACAAGCTCCTTCGTTACAGAAGAAGCACGGATACTGTGGTGTTGGCTACCCATCTAAACGCCCAAGTCGGAAAATTGTCCTCTGATGAGTTTCACCTGGGCGGCCAACATGGTGTAGGCTCCCGTAATGATAACGGTGAGCGATTGCCACAGTTGTGTGAAGAAGCTCGTCTCTTTCTCGCGAACAAAACTTTCGACACAGCACCCGCAGAAGCGTGACTTGGCGCCCACCCATCTCGAACCACCATTGGACGCAAATCGATCATATCGCGATCAGTTACCGATGGAGAGGCTGTGTCCAAAATTGTCGCTCGATTTGGAGCACGAGCGTAGACTCTGGCCACGCACTTGTCTGTGCCGACCTGGTGCGTTTCGGTGGACGTCCGCAACGTCGATGTGAACGGATCGACACCAGCCAGCTGGCAAAGCCAGATGTTCTGAATGTGTACCAAATTGCGCTGAGATCTGGGCTGAGTAATCGCCCACTAAACACCGTTGAAGATCACTGGTCGCATATTCGTCAAACGTTACTATTAGGAGGCATGTCTTCATGTGGCAAATCAAATTGCCTAACTGGACATTGAGTCTCTACACAGTCTCTGGGACTTATAGATACTCGCCGTTATTCCGGCTGGAAGCGAATACGATAAGGCTCGCCAAAATCTCAGGGCAAAACTAAGTACTAGCCTGAAGATAGGCCTCGAAATCTGGTAGTCTCATCCTGCCACGGAGATGCAAACAGCCGCTATCGTTGGCTGGCTTGCCGAACTACCTCCCCGTGGTGCCAGCTGGGTGGTTCGGGTGTACCCCGTTCCAGCAAAGTGTTCGGCGACAATGTTCCACCTCCGTGGGGCATTGTATTCCAGCAATTTTGCTGACTTCATGGGGAGTATTGGGCCCCTGTTTGGTAATCTACCAAACAAAGGCGCATGAGCTGATCATTCAGTCAACGCCTCCCAATGGGCGCGATTCCCTAAATTCGCCCCGCTGCCTTGCGGGTAGGTTATTTAGCCAAAGGCTCGGGGTGGAGTCCCCTAAGTCAACTCCCTACTTCGGCTTGGGCAACCGGGTAGTATCACGCCCTCTCGCAAAACCATGGACTGTACTACAACGCGCTCATCAGCTGCTGTTCCTGCTACTCACTTTCAAGCTACTCCATCACACGCCAATTGTTTGTTTGCTAACAATCCTCACTTTCGGTTACCTGATTCATCT